GCTCTATTGACACTGTTCTCTTTTTCTTAACCCATGATTTTGTTTGGAAAATTTTAACAACCTTTGATAGATAGTATACCAATACTGTTATGATATTATTAGAAAGATATCCTACCTCTCAGTCTTATTATATGGTATTCCCGTTTTATATTTTACATCGTTGCAGTTAGTGCGGAAGACATTAATCAACCTTTTAGACCTTGATCCTGATGATACCGAACAACAGGTATTTGTGCCAGATTACTTTTATGATTATTATGTGGAATGATTTAGTTTTCAAATTACGTTTATGTTCTCTACGATAGTATATCGCTGTAATACTTGTATATGCTGTGAAATATATTGACTATTAGCATTTGGAGGATTATGATAAAGTATAGCGCCTACAAAAGCTATCCCTTTGTTTAGAGGAGAAGACCAGTAGAGTGTTAAATAAATTCTAACATGCGGAGTAGCCGTGTCTTGTAAGGTTAGAGTCTTGGCTGATCATGTTGTATTGATGTCAACCTTTTCTTGTTCCCATGAAGATAYTGAGTATGCTAAGCGAAGAGATACGCCAACTGTCAAGCAAACTGATAAGCACAGAGATACGCCAACTGCTAAAAAAAGAGAACCGGCCTTGGGACAATCTGAACACTTTATGCTGTGCTATTGGGTCTATTTCTGGTTCCATGGGAACAGAACAGGTAAGATCTCCGCTCTCGGTGTCTACTTGTATCAAAATACCTTTTTGGCTGTAGCCGGTGGCATCTTTCTAATGTTATTAGTGCTCTTGATTTTTCATCATCTGAACTCCGCATCTTTTTTCAGGAAAACRGATTTCTGGTGAGGGTCTTAAAAGATCTGTGTAGTTTATGTGCAATTGCCAAGGACAACGACTATAAAGCTGCTATTGCAACTAACATCATGTGAGCTTGTTKCTACCTCATAGATCTTAATAGTGAAACCTATACAATGATTTGGGCTTGGATTGTTGGTACTTATGTAGCAGGAGATTTTTTACTAAAAGTGGATCATTTTAGTATTTGACATGAGTTCTTGTACATTCGCTTCAGGTATRTAGCTACTCGGTCTACAAGATTCTTAATGGGCAATTGGACGATTTTAAAAATAATAGTTCGTAGGCTGTTCGAGTATATGAACTATCCTCATCCCGGTCTAAAGGTAATTTTTTATTGTATTGTTGTAKTTCTGCAGAAGTTAAAATTTGTGATATATATCTTAAAAATTGTATTCCTTTCAGGATCTGGGTTGCGAGACATTCATAGYAATTGCTCAGCAGTTGAAGTTCGAATTTGTTTATGTTCAGGTACACCCTCGTTCTTTTAGTGTTCCTTTTTATTTATTAATTTATCATCTAAAATGAGATATTATGTGCTTTTTCAGCCTGAAGAAAGCGAGCCATTTTTATATGAAATTCTATTACGCTTTCCGACAATTGTTGAAGATCTTGAGCCTCGTCAGTTTTTCACATTTTATGAAGCTGTWTGTATTTTCAGCCGTGTCTCTTTTAGTTGAGATGGGAAACTATTTCTTGTCGTTATCTAAGTGTTTCTCTCTGTCCAGGTTGGTTGTATGGTCCAGGCAGAACCAGATCCTCAGAGGAAGGCTGATTACCTCGAGAGGTTGATGGATTTCGCGAATAAGGTTTGTGAAGTAGAAAAAAGTACTTCTCGGCTTTTGTTTGCCTGCCATACCTTGCTAAAGCTATATATTTTTTCTGTGCAACGTAGGAATGGCCACAGTTTATAGCGCAAGCACGTCAGGGGGCAGATGTTCTCATGGTGCCAAATAATATACGTTATGTGCTTGGTGTCATCCAGGTTTGATATCTGACTTTGGTATTTTTTGTTTTTCTTATCATCTTCATGACTTTCATACATAAAAGTAGTGTTCCCTCATGGTGCATTGGTAGACTTTGGTTTGACTGCAAGGTGTATAACTTATATTTGTGTGCAGGCAAATACGGTGGTTGCCACTTCACTAGGAAGTTCTTTCTTACACCAATTTTCACGGATCTTCTCGGATATGCTGGAAATCTACAGGTAATTTCTTTATACTAAAGAGAGTTAGGAGGCACTCGTTCTGTTTATTTTAACATAATTTAGTAACAATCTTCCTCTTTTCCACCAGAATGTACAGTGAGCTCGTGCCAAACAACATTGCTTTGAGGACAGAACTAAGGTATATACAAAACAAAATAACAGGTCTTGACGCCCCTCTCTTACAAAATGGAATAATGTTGCATCTTAATGCTTCATGGAACAGGTCTGTGAAGAAGGCAATCCTTATTCTGATAGAAACGTTTTTAGACAAAGCTGAAAACCTGCCAGGCATTGTAGAACAATTTGTTCTACCAATGATGGATCCAGTAGTTAGTGACTATGGAACAAATGCTTGGRGTGGAAGGGAATCAGAAGTTCTATCACTCTTTGCGATGTTAATAAACAAGTACGTGTCTTGTCTGTTGATGCCTGCCTTTCCTTATTAGTCCAGGATGTTTTTTACGCTCTGCAATTTGAGAGTATATATTTAATAATCATTGTGGATTATGCATAAATGTTTGGATAGTGTAAGAAACTCAAAAGAAGTCTTAACATGGAAATCTACCTTTCTGAGCCAGCAACTTGTGAGGTGTTCGTGTAGGTACAAGGTTGTAATGCAAGATTTGGTGGCGCCTCATATTTTTGAAGCTGTTTTCCAGGGGCAGGGCGCTTTGGAGGTAACAGATCTTATGGTCCATAGAAATTACTTCCCCTCTATGTTTGTTACACTACAAGTCCAATACATTCTTCTTTTAATGCAGCTGATTACTATGAATTTTGAAGCTGATCCAGAGCACTGCCTCAAGTTTTTCGCGTTAGTTTTTGCTATAGCTCAATTTTGTGACCGTGTCTTCATACAGTTGTCAATTGAGGTTGTTGATTATTTTTCGTTTTATTTGTGTGATCTTAAAAGGCTATTATTTTTTTATGTATTGATAGTTTTCTTGTAATCCCTGAGCTTTCTGTGTCTTTGTGCCTCTAATCATCAGCAACTAAAGCTAGTGATGGATTTAGTTATCTGGGCAATTAGGCAAATGGAGAGAAATATCGCCGAAACTGGGCTTAACCTCTTGCTGGAGATGCTGAAAAAGTTTCAGGTTTTGGAATTTCCCTCTCTCTGTCTGTTGGCTGTTTCGCTTTTAGCCCCTCCTATAAATTTGCCTGATCTAACATGTTTTCGCTCTGACTGCGACAGAAATCTGACGTCTGTAACCAATTCTACAAGACATACTTTATTCAAATTGAGCAAGAAATATTGACCGTCTTGACCGTTACCTCCCATAATTCTGGGTTCAATTTGCATGTGTTGGTGCTGCAGCATCTATTATCCCTGGTAAAATATGTATATTACATCTACCATTTGCTAGTTTCCGTGGGATTTAAGGGAAGACTGATTATAAAATTAATCAGGTTGAGAGCGGTTCTCTGACGGAACCTTTGTGGGATACTGCAACGGTACCTCATCTGTATCTAGACAATGCCACTTTTGTCCGTGTATCTACCATCAATCTTCTAAGCTCATCATTCCCTAACATGACTACATCAGAGGTAACTAACTAACTTAAACCAGAGGATTTTGCTTGTTCTTGTTTATTCGGTGTGATTATGTAGGCATTTATCTTGAAACAGGTGACCCAAATTGTGGATGGACTTTACGATTCCAGGAGAGACCTAGGCAGGTTTAAGAATCTCATACGAGACTTTCTTATACAGTCAAAGCATTTTAGCTGATTAGGTATGATTATAATCAACTTGAAGATTTCACTACACAATTTTATTCAAAACTCTCTATTGAATGGATTTTTATTTTTTTTCAAAATAACAAAGATTTATATGCTGTGGAAGCTGCTGCTCATATGGAGAAAGAGAGACAAAGAATGCTTTCGATTCGTGACGAGATGGCTGATTCATATGAAGAATTTATTCAGTGAATCTGATTTGATAAAAAAAGACGTTTGTAAATGATATTTTCTTTCAAAATAAACAAAATAAAGCACATGACAAGGGTTACTGTATGCAACCAAATTGTGAAACAACAATTTTATTCGTTTAGGCTTCATCTGACTTGTGCAAGAATATCATACAGCGCAAAAAATAGAGAATCAAACGACAAAAAAAACTCACCTCTTATTAATCTTTAAACCTATTAACTCTTACAATCGAGCGATCGTGCATTTAGTTTTTTTACAAAATAATTATATTTACTGAGATAAAACAAAGTCACGATACAAGGAATTATTAACCACGACGGTGGATAAACACAATTCAAACACTTGACATAGTTACATGCGGTGCATCTTATACAGAACATCTACAATTACCAAACATATCATACATTAATCCTGCTCCAAAGTAACAATATTTAGGAAATTTTCATCAAACTCTCAATCTTTGCAAGAAAATTGAGAAATCTATTCCCAGCAAACAGTTATGTGAAAACTTGGACTTGTTTTAGGCATCGTTCGTTTTAGTATCTGACCTTTGAGTTTATGTACATTCGCTTCGCTTTGTATCTTTCATATTAAATTGATTGTGTCATCTTTTGTTAACTTACATTCATAAAATGTTATTGCTCATTTGTTGCTTTTCTTGTGGTCTATGGGTGTTTCCCTAATTGAACCAAAACTATTGACAAATCCAGAACAAATACTTGAATGGTTTGAAAGTTGTAAATTGTGAAATGGATGATGAGAAGTAAGACAAAAGACACGCAAGTTCTTACGCATCAATAAGCTCTGACAGAAGATGGAGGTTGAGAGAAAATGGATTTCAAGACTTGAAAGTTAGAATTAGCACAAATTCCCATATACGTGTAGCCCACATGGTCGCCAACCAATTCAATATAATAAACCCAGTAATGAAGTACCACATATTCTAAGTGTTTCGAATGTATAATAGTGGATGAAAGTAGTATATGCCATCAACAAATCCTATATCATTTTCCACATGATACAACTTTAAGAGACTAGCAGAACTGAGATAAAAGGAGACGAATGGTTGCTGATGTTTCTATTATGGAATAAGAGGAGTAGTAATTGTCATTCCATTTATAGTAATTTGCTATTACATTGTCAAACTCAGCTGGTTGTTTGATAAAAATTTGCACAGTATCTCCACCCCAACCTAATGGTTATGTATTTCGAATTGAATGAGATTCACCAGACTCATCCCAACATTTTCTGTAGATAAGTTGGTTTTCGTCTTTAAAGATTTCCATCCATTTTACGAAATCAATTGTAGAAACTACCAAATTTCCATAATAAACTTGGACGACAGTCCCCATTTTACTATAATTTTATCAGAAGGGTCGACATTTTCTCTTTTTG